CCTGGAGAAGGACGTCATGCTTCGTAAGGTGGAGGGTCGACGAAAGAGGACAAGGCCCTCAATGAGATGGACTGACACGGTGTGCTTGAACAATTTCTCTCAAAAAGATCAGCACGAGGCTAGTCCCCATGAGGCGAAGGTCAAGGATGTCCCAAATGTCCAAACTACCATGCCACTCCATCATTTCAGACATTAATCTCTCCTCCTCCTCCTCCCAGTAATTTCCCCAGTCTTAGGGTTCTGTATTTCTCTGTAACGCCTCACAGAACTCACAAATACCCAAGGGTTCATTTCACGTAGTAGTGGTGGAGGCTGGCAGGCTGGCGAGTCCCGGGTCCGTGAGTAGGTCTGGCGGATCCTCCCAACTCTCGGGGTTAGATGAACCTCGATCAGCAGATCAGACGGCGGCTACTGTCCCAAATCCAGGGGTGAGATGAGGATGATCCAAGAAACAAAACCGGAGCAAGAGGAGGAGCAAATCTTCCCAGAAGATTCATAGGTATACCCTCAGGGAAGTTTGAGTGATTTCTTTTCCCTCAGGAACTTGACTTCCACCAGCAGCACTCCAGCCCAATCTACCAGTTATAACTGCCAAGGTCTCAATTCCAACTGCCAGTCATTATAGGGAATGACTACTACCAGCTGCCCAGCTAAATTGATACCTGAAGTTAACTACCACACCACCCCAAACAGGCATAGATAATGGGATTTACAAAATACCACAGAATGGAGGACAATGGCTAGAAGGGCCACATCAAGCAATTCACTGCACGGTGGCTGCGGCGATGGGCTCAAGTGTAGCAGGGATCGCGGAGCTGGCCCGGGACCAGGCGGTATTTCGTTCTGCTGTGTACAGACAGGGTCACTAGGAGTCAGAGATGACTGGACGGCACCTAACAACAACAGTTGCGCCTGCCCCAGGCAGAGAAGCATGTTTGGAAATTCCTTTGAAATATGCCACGTGGGTTTTTGTTTTTGTTTATTTGTAATGTTACTAAGTGTGAAATCTTTAGCTTGTCCGTTACACCAGACCCTTTACAACAGCTGTTCCTCTCAGCTTACCTCCTATCAAGAGAGACAATGAACGAACCACCGGGACTGTGAATGAGGCTGACCAGTGGTCTGTAGTCCTTAGTAAACCGTGTGTTAATCTCACAGGGCTTTTTCCGTCGAACCATTCGGCTAAAGCTGGTTTATGACAAATGTGATCGCAGCTGCAAGATTCAGAAAAAGAACCGGAATAAGTGCCAGTACTGTCGCTTCCACAAGTGCCTGTCGGTGGGGATGTCACATAACGGTAGGTAAGCCTAGCACCCCAGTTCACCCCTCGGCCGGCCCTCACTGCTAGGGTATGGGGGCTGCGTCCTACACTGAACCCCGATCGTTCCGTAGCCGTCGTCGTCTGAGACGATGCGCGTCTCTGACAGCTGAGATTGAGCAGGGCACTCGGAGCTCTCGGGAAAACCTCAGAGGGTAAGACTTGGATTAAAATTCTGGAACCGGTTGGAAATCACAGGGGGTTACATAATATTCACATCACCCATGCTGTTGTTGTTATGTGCCTTTGAGTTGGACCTGACTCATAGCGACCCCTCCTTGGGTTTCCGAGGCAGTATCACTACGGAAGTAGATTGCCCAGCCTTCCTTCCGATAGGAAGTCTCATCTTAGGCATTTTACCATGTGATACATTTAGCTCATGATATTCAGTCATAGTCTAAGTTTATAATGTGTTAGGAGTCCCTGGGGCGCAGATGGTGAAGGGCTCAGCTACCAGCTGAAAGGTTGGCGGTTCAGACCCACCCGAGTGCCTCGGGAGACAGGCTGGTGATCTGCTCCCGAAAGCACACAGCCTTGGAAACCCTGTGGGGTGGCCCTGCTCTGCACACGGGACCGCCAGGAGGAGGGACTGGCTTGACAGCAGCTAACGACACCAGCAGTTACTGTGCGCAGCTACATGTGAAATAACCAGGGCGTGAGAGTCACACCTTCACCTTCTGAAAAAAGAAAAAGAAGGGATTTATAGACTCATTCTGAACTCATTTGAAAGGATGGATTATGCACCTGAAAGTCCATAGCAGCCTTAAATTCATCCCACACAGGAAATCAGCAGTGAGGTCATTGATTTACTCACTTTAAGCCTCTGTGTAAAAAATCTAGGCTTTACAGAGTTTTTGTTTTTCTCTCTCCAAAAGGGAAAGTGAATAGTAATGAGATGCATTTGACCTTTCCTGTAGCTTTTCATAGGAGCTCTGCAGTGGTTAAAGCATTTGGCTGCTAACCAAAAGGTCGGCAGTTCAAACGCATCAGCCATTCCAGAGGAGAGAGAAGGGGTGATTTGCTTCAGTAAACATGGCAGCCTTGGAGACGCTGTGGGCAGTTCCACTTTGTCCTCTAGGGGCGCTGTGGGTCAGAATGGACTCCA